GATCAAGAAAACTCCCTAATTGACTATCATAACACACTCAATGAAACACTTGATTCCCTAGCAAACACTATTCAAGACCTTCGAAACCCCCAAATCTGTTTTGTAACTAAATTATCTACATAAGGTCTCAGACACCAATATCGCATAACTCTACTTGTAATAGATCTGTTAAAAATTTCCATAAGCGATTACATTCACATTGCCAGTGGGAGAGGGAGCTAAAAATCTACATTTTGCGAATGAAGTGGCAGAATACTTGTTTAGCAAAAGATTTTGTAGATAAGATTTAGTGATCGCAGTCGGAGGAGGAGTGGTGACTGATTTGGTTGGATTCGTATCTAGCATATATATGAGAGGGTTTGGTATATTTAACTATTCAACAGAATAAAATTCATTTTGATTCCTACATCGTTGTTGGGAATGGCAGATGCTAGTGTTGGAGGAAAGACAGGTATCAACAACATCTACGGTAAGAATCAACTAGGAGTAATAAATGATCCTTATAGAATCAAAGTGTGCAGCTAATTTTTACAATCATTGGACAAAAGAAACTTTCTTAATGGTTTGGCTGAAATCATTAAAATAGCAGCTTGTTTTGATAGAAAATTATTCGAGAGATTGGAATGCTATGACTATAATTATTTGATGGATCCAAATAACTAAGCTACTTTATTAGATATTATAAAATATGGAATTAATTTAAAGTTAAGTATTGTAACAGAAGATAAATACGAGCAAAATATTCGAAAAATCTTAAATTATGGTCACACCATTGGTCATGCAGTTGAATTTGCAAGTCAAGGCAAATTGTTGCATGGCGAATGTGTATCAATTGGCATGGTTTTGGCAAACATATTGGCTAAAGAACATGGAATCGATACGTCATCTTATGAGGAATAGAATCAGGAATGTTCTTTTGAAGTATGAATTGCCTATTGAAATACCAGAATATGTAAATATACAAGATGTTTTAAAATATTTATAATTTGATAAGAAGGTAGTAAAACAAGAAATTAACTTTGTATTTATTTAAGAAATTGGAAAGCACAAATTTAACACTACTCCTATTAAAATGGATATTATCAAAAAAATACTAGTTAAATCCTGTGTAATTGCCTGTTCAGACATTAGACCAAGCAAACCCATACATGGATCTAAAAGTATCACCAATAGAGTGCTTTTGTTAAGTTCCCTATCAGAAGGAATAAGCTCATTAAATAATTTTTATGATTCAGATGATACAAAAGCTATGTTAAATTCCTTGTAAGAATTAAGATTATGTGAAGTACAAACACATTCTAAACATAATCTCATTCTTGAAGGATGTTAAGGCTAATTCTATAAGAAGGAATACACAATAAATGTCAAAGAAAGTGGAACTTGTGCTAGATTTCTACTCCCTATTGCTGCCCTAATTGGGAATGTCACTATTATAGGAGCATAAAGAATTTATGAAAGACCAATTTAAGAGATGGTGGAAGCACTTGATTTAAATGTGATATATTTATAAAAGGAAGGATAATTGCCATTCAAAGTAATAGATGGAAAATTTGCTAAACATATCAAAATTAAATCTCAACTAAGCAGTCAATTTGTTTCTGGAATCTTAATGTCTGCTCCTTATTTCCCAAATGATGAAACTCTGATTGAAATCATAGATTGCAATGAAAATGAAACCATCGTTAGTGAATCCTATATAGAAATGACTATTCAACTTATGAATATTTATGGAGTAAGGGTAGAGAGACTCTCTAAAACAAAATTCTTAGTCAAGAAGGGAGTATATAAAGCTCAAACCTATGATATTGAACCTGATGCTACTGCATTGAGTTATGACTTATTGCATATTGGGCTAAATGGTGGATCGATTGAAACCAAAAAGATATCCAAGTTATAAGGAGATGCACAATTCTTGGATGTTATAGAGTAGATGGGGATGCAAGTAGTGAGAGAATAAGGATTTTATAAAATAATAAAGAATTAAGACTTAAAACCTCAAGATGTTAATTGCATTAACTTCAGTGACACCTTTATATCTTTGGCATTGTTAATGTCCTCAATTGAAGGTCAATGTATTATCAAAGGAATTGAAAATTAAAGAGTGAAAGAATGCGATAGAATCAAGGCTGTTACTGAAAACTTGATTAAGGTTGGCGTTGTTTGTTTATAATAAAATAATGAGATTTTAATTAGAGGCAAAAGATATCAAAAATACAATGGCTATAGAAAGGATATCACAATCAATACATATAATGATCACAGAATTGCAATGGCCTTTAGTATTTTGGGAGGGCATTTTGAGAAAGTGCAATATTAATATAGAATCATTATTGATAATAAAGATTGTGTAAGGAAAACATTCCCTGATTTCTATAATCATATCCAAAGTTTAGGGTTATATCAATAGGCACTAACATATAACTAGGAATAAGAATTCTTATACAATTACTAATACTATAAGGAACCATTGTATATTATTGGCATGAGGGGGGCAGGTAAAAGTACACTGTCTTAATATATATGCAAGCAATTAGGTTTTGAATATATTAGCATTGATAATTTGATTTCCAATAATATAAATGAATTTGTCACAAATAATGGATGGGAATAGTTTAGAAGAAGTGAAAAAGAGTAATTTATACAGATATTATTGAAATATCAAAAGAATGTTGTAGTTGATTGTGGAGGTGGAATCATAGAGGATGAGTAAATATAGTAGTTATTGATTGGTAAAAATGTGATATGGATTGAAAAAGATATAAATGAGTTAATTGAAGATTTATAATCTCAGAATAGACCACAAATTGGAAATGTTATGGAGATATATAATAGGAGAAAATCAATCTATTAGAGAGTCAGTAAATATGTTTTTACTTTGCCAAGCAGAAAATATATTTAACAAATTACATCCAATTATGATATTACAAGATATTATCATAGAGTAAATGAACTTTATTTGCATTTCATAAAGAACATTTAACATTTAAATTTTCCAAAGAACAAAATATATGTTTCAGATACTAATTTTGCATGCATATTTTATGAAGAATTAACAATTTTAGATCATCAGAAGATTCATTTCATAAACAGAAATCATAACTTATTGGAAGTAAGGATGGATAAGATTGAAAACATTGAAGATTAATTTGAATAGATTAGATAATAAATTTACAACATCAAATTCTATCTTGATATTCCAATAATATTTACTTTGAGAACCAAATCCTAAGGAGGATTTTATACTGGAACTCAATATGTTAAGATAATTGAATAATGGCAAAATAGCTTCATTGGAGATTATTTTGATATAGAGATGGATTTATTTAATAATGTAAGGATTTCACAAAATTATAATAATTCTATTATTTTGTCATAACACTTATTTGAGAAAACAGAAAAGTTGTAGATTATTGAATTTATAGACAGAATGAAATATATCTCAGAACACAATCCTAATACAATATGTTTATTGAAATTGGCAATTCATCAAAATGCTTATCCATCAGAACTTACATACTAGGAGATATCAAAGCTATTCATGGGCATGAAGTTTGTGATACCATATTTAGTTGTTTCAATGGGTCCTAATTCGCAGTTGTACAGAACCTTAAATAAATTTATGGTTCCCTTATCTTGTTTGACCCCTACAGCAGTTGGTCAATGTACTATACAGTAATTGCGATCGATTAGAAGCCTAGCCAATTTTGAGATAACATAAAATTATCACATATTTGGTGATGATTTATCTTTATCAAGAAGTGATTTACTTCATTAAAAACATTTTGACTAGCTCAATCAACAACATAATAAATTTTACACTAAAGTTTCAATTAAAAAAATTGAATAAGCTAAACCGTATCTTAATGACATCAATTTCTAGGGTGCCTCCATTACAATGCCATTTAAAGAAGAAGTAAGAATCAATAATATACCTAGGTTCAATAATACTTGACAGAATAATCAATAGAGGCGTAAATAATAGGAGCTGTGAATTGTATAATAAAGTATGAGAATCAATTGATTGGATTTAATACGGATTGGTGGGGGATGTTTTGGCCGATATTTATTAGGTTTCCTAGGAACATGCAAAAATGTTTAATTTTGGGGAATGGGGGTACTGCAAAGACTGCTATTTTTGTGGCTGCAAAACTATTTTTATTATAAGTGTTTTTGTATGGAAGGAATGCTTAGAGAGTAGAGGCTTTGGCAAAGTAGAGCAAGGTGGAATTCATGAGGCAGTCTGAGAGGAATCACAAATTCGACTTGATCATTTCAACTATCCCTCCTGGGGCCGAGTTGCCGTTGTGTGAGGAGTGGTTTGATGAAAAAACTATAGTTTTTGTGGCTAATTAAGGGGATGATCCCTTATTGAAGAAGCAGAACTCAATAAGTGGGAGGGAAATGTTCGAAGCTTAAGCAATCGGGCAAGTTCATCTGTTCAATGGGAAGTGAATATATATATACATTTTTTAAAATAAAAAATAATGAACAAATGCAATAACCCTTAAATAAACAAAAATCTTTATTTAATTTTTATATGAGTTCAGGTGAAGAGGAGGATAAACAATATGAAATCGATTAGCTCCTTCAAAAGATTACGGAGGTATAATTTATTTTATACTTAAGATTGAGAACACTCGATAAGTGCATCGCCATCAAAGCAAAGCTGAAGAACCTCAATTTGATTTGGTTTGCTTCATCAAGCGTCCGCCTGTTGAAGACCTGTCTTTGGAAGAGGCACGTTTGTGTTACTTGGAAAATAAGAGGTAGATGGGTAAGGATTGTGTCATGATATTAATCAAGTTTTCTCCAAAAAAAGCACAGAGGAAAAATCAACGAAGCACTTCTACTCCTCCAATAACTCAAGTAAAATATAAAGCAAATTGTTAACGTTCTTTTCCAAAGTTTTGAGAGATCAGCCCAACATGGTGGAAAGGTTTTTGCATGAGAAATACAATCACAAATTAGAAACTGGGTTTGAACAGAAAGTTCATATTGGGATAGTAATATTTATATCTATTATAATAAGACATCTTAATAATTTGAATCCTCATTTTAGCCTACTAAATTACCCCTTCTTGGTTACAATTTTGAAGATGCTTTTAAAACTTAGTATGCAGATAATAGAATTGGGCGGGTTAATAAATAAAAGCAACGAAAGGTATTGTATATATGTAAATACTCCATTTTAGGCAAAGAATGAATGTCAATAATCAACCCAGAATGAATACTTTAACACTATCATCTAATAAGAATTGTACGAAGATCCTATAGAAGTGGGAGACCAAAAGAAGAGTTGGGCAATAGTAGTTAGGAATACTGTCAAAATTGCAAGATTCAAAGCAAAATTCCGTTAAGATTTCAGAGAATTCTTTAAAAGAATTGCATACTTTGCAGCCAAAGAAGCTAGAAGAAGAAATCAAAAATGTCAAAAATATTAGAAGGATTTTATGATGAGAGCAAAGAAATTATCAAAGGAAGCTTAAGCTTTTTGGAGAAAGAGAGACAAAGAATTGATTGAAATAAAGAAGAGAAAGGAGAAATTAGAATAGGAAAGAAAAAAGAAAGAAGAAGAAGAAAGAGAATAATTACTATAATAAAAAAGGTTAGAATTTTTAATGAAGCAATCTGATATTTATGCTCATTTCATGGCTAAGAAATTAGGAATAACTTTAGATAATCAAATCTAATAAAGTAATGGAAATGTCGAAATAGATGAAGCAAAGGCTTTTGAAACAGTGTAGAGAGTAATAAATGATAACAGAAGACAATTGCAATAATTTGATGGAAAGGAATAGGAGAACGTTTAAATATAGGAATTAAAATTGGACCATAATGATTAAGATAGAGATTTTTCGCTTATTGCCCCTCCATCTACTTTTCATGGAGATCTAAAAGAATATTAGTTAAAAGGATTAAGATGGCTCGACAATCTCTATGATTAAGGCATCAATGGTATTTTAGCAGATGAAATGGGATTAGGGAAAACAATCTAAGCCATAGCATTATTATCCCATATTAGTTCTTTTAAATAAGTTTGGGGTCCCTTTTTAGTAATAGCCCCATCATCAACATTACATAATTGGTAATAGGAAATCAAAAAGTTTTGTCCTTCTCTTAAGGTTCTGCCCTATTGGGGTTAGGCTTAATAGAGGAAAACTATTAGAAAATATTTCCAATAAAAGAATTTTGGCTAAAAATAATCATTATTTCACGTAGTTGTTACTTCCTATAACTTGGTTGTTTCTGACAATAAAATATTCAATAGAGTGAGATGGCAATATATGATTTTGGATGAAGCCTAGGCTATTAAGAATATTAACTCATAAAGATGGTAAATTTTATTATCTTTCAATGCCAGAAATAGATTATTATTAACCGGAACACCAATATAAAACACTATGGGAGAACTATGGGCTTTGTTGCATTTCATTATGCCTAAATTTTTTGATAGCTTTGACCAATTTTAAGAATGGTTTTCAAAGGATATAGAGGCACATTCTCAGGACTAGAAGACTTTAAATTAGCATCAATTATAAAGATTACATGCTATATTGAAACCCTTTATGTTGAGACGTCTAAAGAAGGATGTAGAGAATGAGATAGGATAGAAGAAGGAAATTCAGATAGTTTGTGAAATGACAAGTAGACAGGCAGTGCTTTATAAGAATGTTAAATCAAAACTATCCATTAAGGAGTTTTTTAGAATGTTGGATTCAAAGCAAAAAGTGGATAACCTAATGAATTTGGTCATGTAATTTAGAAAGATTTGTAATCATCCTGAACTATTTGAAAGGAAACCATATAAGAGTCCTTATATATTTTAGGATAAACAAAATGTGGAAGTGTACTAACAAAATCCAATAGTTTAAGTAACAAAGAGAAATCCAATAAAATTTATAATTCCTAAATTAGTTTATGACAATCTAATTCAAGGTAAGCCTTGTATTTTTACTGCCCATTACATCTATACCTCTCTAAAAAATGGTGATTCCACTTTTGCATGTTTTATTTTAAAGCATTTGCCATTTGGACTGTTCTAAAAAAATATTTTTGATTTGATCCTTTTGCTATGTAATTTTGATGAACCCAAGAATTTAATTAATTATTCATTCTCTAAGTAATTGTAATTTTACATTTCGATTGCTTAAAGCTAAATTGTATCATTTGAATGTAGATCGAGTTCATTCTACTAAAAACTCAATTAAAATTTATATAATAGATAAGCATTGTCATTTATAAAAGAATCCTAAGCCTGTTTCATCTTGCCAAATAGTCCGGACTCATTAATCGCTTCCTCATCTAAATTGCTACAATTGGACAGATTACTAAAAGATCTAAAATAAAAATAATGGAGAGTGTTGATATTTTGTCAGATGACAAGAATGTTAGATATTTTGGAGGAGTATATGTTACACAAAGGATACACCTATTTTAGAATGGATGGCTAGTGCTAAATCAATGATAGGAGAGATATGGTCAATGAGTTTTAGTAAAATGACAAGATCTTTGCATTTCTTTTATCCACTAGAGCAGGTGGTTTAGGAATCACTTTGACATAAGCAGATGCTGTTATTTTCTATGATAATGATTGGAATCCAACTATGGATGCTTAAGCAACCGATCGAGCTCATAGAATTGGAAGAACAAAGGACGTATATGTTTACAGGTTGATAACAAAAGGTACTATTGAGGAGAGGATAGTTAAAAGGGCATAGCAAAAGTAAAATGTTTAATCAACTGTTTATTCAGGAGGGTTCTAAGGTGATAAATTTAAACCTCAAGAGGTAAACTTATTGATAATAAATTATAGGTCTTTGAATTGTTATTTGATGAATAAGATATGGATGAGACTGTAGCCAATAAATTTATGGCGAAAGGATAGAAGAAGAAGAAGAAACCAGTGAAATAAGACCAAAAAGAAATAAAAGAATAAAAAGAGCAATAAAAAGATTAAAATAAAGATCAGAAGGAACAATAGGAGGAAGAGGATATTATAGAAGTAGACTTAAGAGAATTAGAAATGAATGAAAAAGATTGTGAGGATGCTGATTGATAAGTGCTCTAATATAATAAATCATCTAAAATTATTTATAAATTGTATGTTCTTTAGATCATTTTATTATTTCCTTCTAGATGAGATTGTTATTTACTTTTACAAATATTTTTAATTAGTTTAAGATCATAAGTTATTTGTATTAATTATTTTCTCATATCATATTATGATTAAATTAATAAATTAAAAAGAACTTTTAATTATTCCTTTTATTAATGAGTTTATAATAGTTTAATTGAAAATTTAGTTTAAAAATAAAATCAACTAAAAATGTCGAGAAGGTCTAATCAAATACAAAATAAATAAAGCGAATGGCAGAATGATAAATAAAGAAAAAAGAGATTGATCCTTGATAGTCCAGATACTAAAGAGACTGTGACGATATTACCAAAATAAGTAAGATAATGATCCTAATTGATTAATAGTAAATACCAAGTTCGAAAACTTTGCCCAAGCACTTTATCTCGGGGTAAAAGAGGAAAACTAGATTATAATAATAAACACAAGAGGAATGTCCTATTTGTTTGATGAATCTGGATGATGTATAAAAGGTTTGTGAGGTGGATAAATGCAATCATTAGATATGTTTAACTTGTATTAAGGAATGGGCAGAGAAGTATAAGACATAATGTCCCTGTTGCAGGGCAAAATTCAAATTCATCTATCCTATTAAAGATGGGAAAAGGGAAAACAATCCACTAAAATTAAATTTAAATTTGCCGAAATGGAATTAAGAGGAAGATGAATTTTACGAATCTGAAGATGACTATGAGGATGAGGAGAGATGCCAAGTTTGCTTAGGTTCCCATACTCCTTATTTGATGCTGATATGTGATAAATGTAATGATACATTTTGCCACACTTTTTGTGATCCAGCCTAATTAGAATTAACAGTTCCTAATAGTAAATGGTATTGCTTGGATTGTAGAAAGTCCAAAAATATTTACTACAAACATAAGTGACTTAATTGATTTTTATAACATTCAATAATTTTTCATTTAATCTACCTTTATCTAAGGGCATTTATTTAAATTCAAATCTTTCTTTATAGAACTCATTCTCTTGGGTTGAGTATTTCTTTAAGGGAAATAATTTATGATATTAAAATTTTTTTAAAATGAATCTTATTTGACTTTCAGCTGATTTTCAAACTCCATTTTAGTTGAAGATTTGTGTTCTGACTTGGTCATCGATTTGATCTTCTTTATTTGAGGCAATAACAATTTCTTTAATTATTGTTCCTACTAAACACATTGAGTCTCAGTCTGTATGGTTTTCTACTTGAACAAGAATTTCTTGGGTTCCTTGTAACTGTCTCTCTTCTAAGCTACCTCAAAAACGAAATCCTATTCGCATTCGCTATCCGACTCATCCTAATCATTACCCAAACAATCAATCACTGGCAATGTAGTCTGATCAGCTATGGGTTCATTGCACTTTTCAATAGAATCATATATTTGTTGTGCAATCTCTTTGTAATCTGAATCACTGAATCTGCCATTTAATGAACCGAATAAACTAATTTCAATAGTAATTGAGAACTACACCTTGTATTGATACCAGAATGTCTATCTGGCAGTGCTCTTTCTATTGGCTTAAGTTTCTAAAGAGCAATGCTTCATATGGAATAAAGAGTGATTCTAAAATTTAGCTATAAAATTCTTAATTTCATTATTGTTATTTTAATTATTGGCACACCCATATATAAAGTAGTGTTATTTGGTTGAATGACCATGCAGATCGACCATCATTGTAATTTTCTATTTGTACTTCTCTAAAGATGATTTGATATAGTAGATCTCTGGTTCGGATGATAATTGGGGATTAATCCATTTTCTATTTAAGTCAACACCATGTAAATTGCAGCGACTATTGCCTAAGAAAACTCCATCTGGATTTACCATAGGGTATATGATATATCGATATTTGGAAGAGTTGATTATATTTATTAGCTGTTCAACTACGAAAGACCCACTGGTTTCGCTAGGATGTTATCTAGCCAAGATTACCACATATTATTTGGCTTTACCTCTTTTAATTTGTATGATTGGGTTATTTAGTTATGTGTATCCAACTGTCTTATAATCAGTTAAGGAAAGCGCTCTAGAGAGGGGGTAGGGTTGAGCGTATGCAAAGGTAACTATTTCATCGTTTTAAAAGGTGAATTTAAACTCTAGAGTGTAGAAGTGCATTAACTGTTGGTATTTTGCTATTTAGGCGTCGTCATTTGCATAGTAGGGATGATGGATGTTGGTTTTGTAGTAGTGCAAATCAAAGCAGGTTGATTTGGATGTGTAGGGTTTAAAATTAGTCAATAACTATTGCCTTCTTCGATTATTTAATATTTTAAATTTTATTGTTACTGTAGGTTTTAATGCTTAAACCTGAAAATGAAACCATTGTGTGCATCCGTTGGTGTTTGAATCACTATTTAATAATATATTAATTGTGTCGTTGTCTTCTGTGAGATAGAACAAGTTGGAGGAATCATATAAGGAGTATATCTAAATTGAACTTGTAATGAAAGTGAGTTGTCCGTTTTGTTAATTTGATTGGGGTTGGATGGTGGTGTCGAGGAGTTGTAGCTTCTTTTGGAATACTTTAAGATAATTTATTAAGGAATAGTTATGAGTAGTGATTAATTGCAATTTTTTATTCATGCATTATTAATACGTATATTTGCGTATATTAAATAAACAAACATTATTTTTATTTTTAATGATACCCGGACTCTAAAAGATTAGATTCAGGAAGGAAGAGCAGGAGAAGATGGAGGATCAGGAGATCGAATTGGATGCACTCAATAAAGTTGACAGGCAATTGGAGATGTTAGAAAACAGCTCGTAACAATAGATAGAGTATATTAATAGAGTGTGGAAATCCAAACCGTTAAGGATCATATAGAAAATAACGATTTTCATTACTCGTCTTAAACACAGTTCGACGACATACAGATTTAAATTGTTGAAGAAAAGCATCTTTCTATTAATTAGAGATAAGGCTTCTTCATTTCAATATTATCTAAATAATTATATGTTATTTCAAAAACCCACAAGAGTAATTAAATTTCAATTAAGTTAGTGGATACAAATAAAATATGAGGCTCATGCCAGCAATCCATTATGGTGGCGTTTTTGGTGTTTTCTGAAAAGTGATGAAACGGTTCTATTACCTGCAGATAAGTTCCTTTTCGTATGGGATCTATTGATGATGTTGGTGACAATCGCCAATATCTTCTATGTGCCTTTGTAGTTGTCATTTAATCTCAATGAAGACGATATGGGTAGCATCTTTACTCTTTTTAGCACATTGCCGAGTTGTATATTTTTGATTGATTTAATCCTAACATTCTTCAAAGGATATTACGACCGAGGAATACTGCAAAGAAATAAAGCGAAGATCTTTTGGCATTACATAAAGGGTGACTTCCTATTGGATTTGGCAATAGTTTTGCCCTTCATTTTATCTTGGATGGGATATTCGGCTGCAAACTATCTGATGTTGATTCGAATGACAAGAGTCAGAAGAACAATGATAGTAATTGAGGAGATATCCAATTTCAAGGAGAAGAGTGCAATCATCTATCAACTATTTTGTCTAATCTATTCGTTGCTGTTGATTTCTCATTTTTGTGCTTGTCTATTCCACTACTTTGCCCTTTATGAAGTAGACCAAGGTTACACTCACACTTGGTTACACCAATAGAATATATTTGATGAGGATTTGTACACCAAATATTTCAATTCACTCTATTGGATTACTATCACATCAATGACTGTTGGATATGGCGATATTGTTCCAGTTACAACCCCTGAGAAAATATTAGTCACTATCATCACTTTCTTGGTCACTGGAGTTTTTGGGTACGCATTAGGAATGATATAAAGTATTTTCTATAAAATGGCTGAGTAAACTAACATCAACAATTCCAGATTGAGATTAGTGAGTAATCATATTAAGTAGAGAGGATTGAATACTCAATTACAGTTTAGAGTTCGCAAATACATCGAATACTATTTGTAATTTAAGTAGGACGAGGAACTGGATTTGGATGAACTCATGGGACAACTCAATCCCAAACTCAAATAGGAAGTCCAAATTGCAATGTACTATCGTTATCTTAAACATTCCAAATTGTTTGGAACCAATTTCTCCGATGATCTCATCAAGAAGCTATGTTTTTGTATTCATGAAAGAACATTCGCTCCTGAAGAGGTTATCATTAGGTATTCATTCTTATCACACATTTAGGAAGGATGAATTGCCAAATCAATTATACATTGTATTAGCAGGACAAGTCAAATCTCTCATATTGGAAAAATCAATCAAAAGATATCAATAAGGAAATCTACTCTGCGAAAGAGAATTCTTTTATCAAGACTTTATGCAATATAATATTGTTGCATCCTCCTTTGTTCAAGTAGCCTACTTGAATCTCTCTGAATTTCAATCTATCATCCAAAATCATCGATCTAGTTTTGAACAATACCGGTATGCCATAGACAATACTGTTTTTGGTCAAAACACAAATCTGATTATTTGTGAGGCTTGCCAGTCTCATCATTAATTTAAAAATTGCCCTCTTGTTTTCTTTAAAAAAAATACCTACAAAGTGTTAGCTGCTTGTCATAGCAACCATGTACAGAGCAGACAAACCTTTGCCAGAAAAAAGTCTAAATACAAATAGCAAAGAACAGGTGTCCTCAATGGAGCCTATGATCACATCATCAAAATGAGGACACAATTAGGAGTCCAAATTGATTAAGCATTCCTGAACAAAATTGGGTACCCAGGTTATGAGCAACAACAGTAAAGTGATGAAGAAGAAGATAAATACCAATCTCCTCAGGCAAGGAGGCAGAGTTTCTCTTAATTCAACGACCATTAGCATTCGCTTTCTCAAAATACCCTACCTCAAGATGAACATTACAATGACTTTGATATAGACAAAGTCGAAGAATATGAATTCTATTACCCTCATGATAACATCACCAAAATTAGTAAAATTGTGAACAAACAACAATTATTACAGAGACTACTAGATAAAGTATCGAATAAAAAGAATTTATTTGCCGGCCTTGTATTTAGATAAGTGGTATAAAACATTATATGAACAACAATTAAATTTATACAACAAATTACATTTTTCCTGTTTTACATTAATATTATACTTATTTATAATCATAATCTTCCATCTGTTGTTATACCTTAGCTGTTCTCTAATTTTTTATTACTTATCGTAATCCCATATTAGCTATAGATAATTAACTCAACAATCTTCTTGAGAACCTGTTGATTTGTCTCGAACTTTGACCACTTCTCAACTGCCACTGAATTTATTTTCTCTACTCCAAAGTTATCAAAATAAAATAAATCAAAAGCAGAATGCAATGATATAGGATGCTGGATTAAAGTAATCTACCCAGTGATTAGACTTATAAAAAAGGATCCTCCAGAGTGTTCTTAAATTGCATGTTGGTTCAAATTTCCGAATTTAGATCTTATGCATTATTTCATACAAAACACTTTTTCACAAATTACACATACAAGAATATCCTAATTATTTTCAAATTATGCATTGTGATATTTGCATAATTCACATCCCTTAGTAAAATACTTCTTATGGAACTCAGCAAAATTCTCGCCTAATTAAGTATTGAGCCTTTCTTAAAATTTTTCATAGATTTTTTAATAATATTCTATGAGAGGATCTGATTCCTCAATCTAAATTTTATTTGGATCCTAAAACTCTTAGACTTCTTAGGTAGAGATACCAAATATATCCAATAAGGTTTATCTGTATTAATCATATTTTTAGTTAAGTGCCACTGATAGTATCTCTTTTTTTAATTGTAATTTATTTTAAGTAATAATGATATTATTATTGATGGAATTGAGGATATCAAAGATTATCGATATACCTGCATTAAATTTATAGGCTTTAGGTTGTATTTTAAAAAGTGATGATTAATATATCATTATAGTTTGTTCCAATAAATAAATAACCTAATTTAACACAATTGTTCTGTTTAGATCTCTGAATCTTTTGGTGTCAATAAATAATTATTATAACAAATCAATTATGATTTAAATGTAAATTTCGATAATGATGTTTTGATGTTGGTTTTAATTTGATTTTACTAAATACTCCCATAATCCATTTTCATTGACACTATCTAGAAGAGCCTTATTAAAAAATTGAACTTCTAATTAGGAGATTACTTTATGCGATGGCATTTGTATATTGAATGGATGATTACACAATCTACAGACCTGTTTATACCATCCAGGAAGTTAGTTGTAAAATTATTATTGTTGGTTTAGCATTATACAATTTGGATGGTAATAGTGTGAACATCCATTTACACTTATTTGAAGTAAATTATGATCCTGGTTATTCAGTTACGAGATCAATGTCTCAGGCATAGACAAATGTTTATTATTGCTCTTCTTGAACAATAATAGTGGAATACAAAATTTATCTTATAATTAGAGTTTGCAGCCATCACATTACTATTAATTACTTTGTTAGATTGAGTTTATAACTGTATTTTATTACATTTAAGATTGGTCCGGTTTAGCTTAGATTTTTGTAAATAACAGATCGTCTTGTAAAAATGAGAGTTTTTTGGATTGCTCAATTAACAAGGCATACTATAATTTATTGTTTTCGGACTTTGAATCTTGATGTAATTTGTGTAAGAGCTAAAGAATAAGTATTTTATTGCTTTTTAGTTCTTCAATTCTAAAATATGAGGCTGCTAACAATAAATTTTATATAAAAATTGCAGTTTCGTCTTCACTGTTATTGTATTTCGATAAAAATTATAGATTATCTATAAGATTCTATTTGGAGGATAAATAATTGAGTATTTTCTTTTAGATTAAATACTAATTTTCTTAATCATATTATTTTATGTTCGAATACAATCCATTTCCAAAGAGCAGAGTCTTATTTTCGGTGCCTTTTTATTGTAAAGTTTTCAGAACTATTTTCTTTAATTCTGAATTTGAAGCAAAAATAATTGGATCATAGAGAGGAGGATATTCGCTTTTCAGCTTAAGTAATTTAGTGTTTTCATCTAATTCTAAGAAGTTAAAAACAAAACTCTTTTTTCTTGGGAAGGTAATTCCAAATTCTTCAAATCTTTATTGTAGTGTTTAGAACGTGGTCTATCCTTCTACGTTCATAATAATTTGAAGTATTCTTTAGAGTGCTTGATGAAGAATCGTAGGGAGGCATTCTTATTTAGAAAAGTAAAATATGGATGAGTTATAAATATCAAGATCTGATGCAATCATCCTCAGTAGATATAAACTATAGTTTAATTAATTAATTACTAGGTGATGGAGCACTGCATCGTAATATCTGGAAGGAGCATATTGTTTATAGCCTTATAGACATCTAGCATGCCTTCTTCACCAAATAAATATATATATAGTTTTCCAAAAGCAGTATCTAACGACTCTAGTTTTGATCTCAAATTGTTTTCTTTTAAACCGTAATACATTTAATCTACATTATCATCAATCATTGTCCAAACAGTAGTAAATTTCTAGATGCATCTTTATAAAATTTATTAAAAATTCTATTTAATTACTTATATTGAATCATCTAAAATTGACTATAGGAAATCTAGAAATTGTTGAGGTTCTGAGTATTCTTTAAGAGACAAATGCAAACTTAGAATTTTGATAAACAATTTATCTAAAATGGAGGCATTTTTAATGAAATAACAATACATTTTTCTAGCTTTTGCCAATTTGATTGAAGAATCTTCTTCTTAATCTATGTATTGAGAGAATTTTTAGGCCAGGAGAGTCTCTAGTTTTACTCCAAAATTTCTTTTATTTTTAATTAACTGATAGATTTAGACGAGGATTACTGAAATGAAGTTCATTTCCAGTTATGGAGTACTTTCAGAATCACAAAACAAGCTAATAATTGCATTTTCTATTTCTTTAATGAATTCTCCCTCAAAGTGTATGTAATATTTTAAATCAACATCTTCATTCATTGAGAATTTATAATCAAAAGGTTTATTTGGTAAATTTGATAGTGAAGCCTTGCCTAAGCAATTAATGAGTTTAGTTAATAAACATTTTCCATAGTCAAAATTTTTGATCAGATTCAAATCAGCATTCTGAGTTTTAAATTTATCATAATCAGTTCCTAAAGCATTTTTCAATGAAATCATATTAAACTGGTCAAACTGGGGGCTTCTAAATTTTGGTCCAAAGAATTTAATTACTTCCCAAGGATAACATTACATTTCTCCTAATGGAACATGGAGTTAACTGTAGACGTCTTCCAAAAGATCAAAGACTTGAATTTAATCTAAATTATCTACTAGAGCCTTCATTGCGATTTCATTAGTAGATTACCTAAACCATGTAATAAGCTCACACGGAATGTAACTGTAAGATGTAAAATTATCTTGTTGTAATTCTTGCAAATATGTTTCAACGTTTTTATTTACCTCCTCTATTTTTTTCTTATTCTTGTTAGCATACTAAGGATCAATATTATTCTACTATTCATTTAACAAATCAACGTAATCAAAAATAGTATCAGCAGTCTTTGTTGATGCATTTTTAGCAAGTAAAAATAGGCTTGAAAATACTTTGAGATTAACTTTGCATATAAATTCAAAGAAATTAGAATTTGAGGCCAACCTTTCTATTATATTTCCAATAAAGAATGGTAACTCTGGTGATGCTGCTTCTTATAATGTTTAATGTCTTATGAGACTTTCATATAAAGAATAGGTGCAATTTGGTAATTGGTTTTGGAATATATTGGCAATCAGATTTTGAAATACTTCTCTGTCTTTGGTCAACCAATCAATAATATTAAATATGGTTTAATGAAGGCATTAACTTTTGACTAATAAATTGTAATAGTCTTTATAATTTATCCTTTAGTCTATAGTTTATTAGATTTAACTGATTTTAAACTTTTGACACAAATGATACAATTACATGATTGCCTGTCTATAATTATGCCATTACATTTCTATTTGTTTCATGACTTAGTTATAAACTGAACTTGTAGTCATAATGAATTACTCAATCTTTTCTGCTAAATCAGCTGGTATCACTTCAAATTAGTTTAAGTTCTATTCTTTTAATGTTTAATGAACCTCGCAATTCTATTCAGGTGCAAAACTTCCACAGCTACAGTTACCTGTGATTGCAGTATAGTAACAGTTATGATCTTGGATATATATTAAATGTATACTTTTATGTCTTTCAATATTAAAACATTAAGAACAAAATAAATGTGGAGTACCACCAAAACACGTAGAACATTTGAATGCCAATTATCCTTAAGAGATTACTTGATTGCAAACATTCTTTTCAATCTTTATGGCTATTTTCCAAAAATTCAGATGATCAGGCCTATCAGATATATATTTTATAAAAATTTATTCGGGTTCAATAGGCTGAGTTTGATTTGAGCATAGTTATTCGACATCCAAAATTGACATCATTATTTTGTAGAAATTTATTTATTTGAATTCCACATTTTACAGATTCATTATCAAATTGCTCAATAGAATCATACCAGAATTAATAGTTTATATTAGATATTAGGATTATAAATAAACTTAATTAATATATAATTATATTAACATAAATACATAGACAAAAATATATTTGAATAATCATTCTTAAGAAGTTGATTCCTATTCATATTTTATATATTATATTCAATTGCATTTAATGAAATTATATTAAACATAATAGTATTAAACAATGTTTTTAATAAGAAGCATCATTATTCTTTTCCTAATTAAATATGCTTAAAGTTTAGATGTTTGTGTTCAATAAACCACATATGAAGAGTGCATCATAATAAAAGAGGAGCAATGTAAATGGAATGGGTAAGTTTGTAAATGGTCAAACAATTATTTATTTGGATGCGATCTAACTTTGAGTGAAAAACTATGTACCAAATAAATTGGGAAACTAGATGGTACAACAGCAATGTGTATATTTGATATGACTTGTCATACTGTTTATGAATAATATTTTCTAAAATGCTCAGATAAATTATCAAAGTCTGGATGTCTCTCTGTAACCAATCCTGATTAATTATGTAAATGGGAAGATGACCAATGCAAATATTTAAATTAAACAGAATTTAACAATATCAATACTATATTTCAAAATTTAGAATTGAGTGCATCAGTGTGCAGTAGGATAACAGGATTCCTAATCATTCATCATTCACTATTATGGACACTTTTAGATTACTCTCCAGATGTTGTATCGGAGGCCTAAAGAAAAGTGTAAATCGAAGCAGGTGTTGAATTCTCGGAATCCAGGACCTATCAAGATACTACTTTGAAAGATAATGTTATAGATTCGAATGGAATGTTTATATGGTATACATATTCTACAAAGTAATCGATATCTGACAGTAAAATTTAATTATTATCTTAGCCAAACTTAATGATTTTCAAAGGTATGGTTGCATAGCCTAAGAAATATTAAATGAAAACAAGTTTTTGAAGTTATTTAGCTTAAATGGAATAATACGGGGAGTGAATCATGTTTATTGCAAATACCTAAATGTGCATCCAACTAATCCAATTCTTACTGTCTTTGCTAAATCAGAATGCGAACCAACTACATTGGATGAATTGTCAGATTAGTCCTACATCAATAAATAACAGTTGTAGTGTTAGGATTTGAGTGGTCTGGTATGCTAAAGATTCAGGAGTACTGAGATTAAATGTTTGGTGGATTACACATAGGAATTCCAATGCATGAATACCGATTTAAGTGTAGAGACTGATGAATGTAAGACATTGAGTGGTATTGCAACTCACTATAGTTGTGCTACTGTGGCCCAATAATATTGCTATTTAGATATTTCTACACCCAAAGGACAATGCTCTAAATAGTGTTCTAATTTGACATCTAAGTCTGTTTGTGAAAATAATTCAGCATGCAGATGGTTGGGTAGTAATTTGGGAAATCTAAGTGATTCAAAATAATCAATATTTCTAGTTTGCATACCTTTGAGTGGGTGTAATCAAATAGGAATGAATAAAAAATATTGTTAGTAGATGAGTATGAATTGTTATTGGAATAATAGTATTTAGAGGTGTGAGGAAATCAAATTTATTGAGTAATTAAGATGTCAAGATTGCAATTCAATATTTTGTTGCTCTTCTGTTAGTGTCTATGATTAATTTTGTATTTGGAATTTAGGTGAATGTTTAAATGTTAAAGATTAAAACTTGTTCTCTCATTATTAATCCTTCTCTTCATCTATCGTCATGAACTATAATTTGTGTATGTCTCAAAAAGGATTATACAACTATTATGACATGGCTACAAGGACTTGTAAAAGTGAAAACATTAATTTATATCTGCCTTGTGTTGACTTTTAAGATAAAGATTATGACCTGGATAATATGCCATGTAATAATGGAATTAATGGGAGAATAAATTAGGAATTATGTTTTGCTCTAATTAATTCTAATACAAAATGGGATGCTTCTCTCTAAAGATGTATCCATGTTACTAATAAATCTATTTCTTGTGATTCAATGTAGTTTGTTAATCCAAATTTATGTAAATATGGAATAGTCTAAGAGTCATAAATATGTCTCTACAATCCAGATACATTAAGTTGTTACTCATCATCATTGATTGATCTTCGTTGTGAAACTCCAGGCATCAATTAGGAATAGTGTCTATCCAATTAAAAAGAAAACTGTTAATGGAATGAGAACAAATGCATTTCCCTGAAAGTGAGTCTAATTGTGTAATATTACTGTAATGAATTCTAAAAAGTGAGTCCAAATGTGTGTAGATTTACAAGCCAAGACTTTAGTTGCAAATATGATTTCAACGTTTTTGGATGCTCGATTCTCTCTGGCCAAGCTGACAACTGTCATAGTTATGTTAACAATTAAGGTTGTTTCACATCAGCGGGTTAATGTTATTTTGACAATGTGTAAAACAGGTGTATGGATGCCATTAACTCTTTAGATATTTTGAACTGTGATTCTGAATTCATCTCCCATCAAACGTGTATTACCATAACAACTATAAACTAGAATTGTTTCTGGGGTTCCATTCCCAGTGATCCCAAAGTCAAATGCAGATCATATAAATAGTAATTCTAAACCACTTGCTATTCCTATCAGAATACAAGCAATCTTAATACTTGCACTTAAATGGCATCCCATCTTTCCCTGACTCTAACAGATGATCAATTTTGTGAAGTCATTGATTAGCAATGTGTATCATCTACATCCTCTATTTCTGATTCTGATTGTGGATACAATAGAATGATCAATATGCATAGATGTGTAGCCTATACTTAATAAAATTGTTATTTCAGTAATAATAGATGTAATTTGATAATTGGACCTTCAGATTATTAGTAATAATTGTTAGGAGTCTTGGAATGTCATTAAAGTAATCTGTAAATATGTAATCAAATTGTGACACCCGGTTAGATATGTCATATTGCACAGGACAAAAAGTGTGTATAGATGTACCTCTCATTTTCAGACAGCTGTGATAATTTGTCTAATTACGATATGCAATACTATAATCCATAAATTTGTAATAAAGCCATGGATGCTTGTTATTATGATGTTTAGAGTAAAACATGTAAGTAACCTCTAAGTTCAAATACATTCAAGTGTAACTAAATAGGTGCCTCAAAAATGCTATGTCTATTGTATACTTATGAAAACTGTGTGTTTATTGGTGAGATATGCCAAAATCTTGAAAATTTAAATGTTGAATGCAAATATAGGAATATGAATGCTTGCTTTTAAGGTGTTTAGAATTGCTATTGGAATTACTCTAATTCAGCATGCGGATAATACTTTGGTGATTGCCCTCAAAAATTTGATGAATCCATGAGCTGGCAGATTTGCTAATCAAGTAACTTCAGCTGTGCGGCAGGATAGAACGGATGTGTAACCTAAGTAAGTTAAGTGCCCTGTTGGTTATCTGTTAGTTTCGAAATATGTCAAACCCAATTTTAATATTGTCAATGGCTGGACAATCAATGTGTTAATTAAGATTATGACTGTGAAGAAGCTCTAACTATTAAAGAATGTCTGTAACATAGATCCAAATTCTGTGTATTCCATCAGAATAAATGTTTCACTATACTTGATACTGATATCTATGAATGTGATTAATTTAATTATGTTTCAGAAAACTTTTGTAGACAATACCAACCAATTTGTATATATTAGGTTTCAACTTTTGAGTGCGTTAAAATGAATTTCTTAACAAAGAGTCAAATGGTTGATGTGAACTTTTCAGAATAATATCTTTGCAATGCATTTAGTCAGGACAGTTATAGTTGCTTATTGTAAAGATCTCTCTAATGTTCTTACTACAATTATAGCTGGTATTAATTTTGCGGAGCCTCGGATGCAAGATTGTTGTGCGAAATGTTTGATGACATAATACATCCTTCAATACTAACGTGCGAATCTATTTTTAATTGCAAATTCGGAATGACTACCTAAGGAGAACCATTCTGTTACTCTTTGCCATTGTAATGCGAACGTTTGGATACTTTTTGTTTGAAAGACATTCCAGGATTGCATTGCTATTAAGAATTCGGCTCCGATTAATGTAAAACCTACAAACAACCATTGCTTTGTGAGAATGTGCAGTATTTTAATGTCAATAAACAATTATGCTTGTCTGTTATGGAAAATCCAGATAACACATCTGAATGCTATTATTAGGAGTATACAAAATTGTGCAAGCCAAAATATCCTATCACTATGATCCTTGGTAGTGATATAATCTTTGATTATTACTTCTGTCTCTTCAAGGATTCAGATTATTACCTATTTTATAATGAAAAGTCAAATTTTGAATATTGCTCACTGGAGCCTTTAAGCAATCTATAAAACCTAAATCATTATGGGTGTACAAAACTCTAAGGTGACTTATACTTTTTTGACCTTAAGTAATTCAAGTGTTCCAAGGACATAACAAGACCATTCATATAGATTTCTTTATGTCTATAGATGAATCGACAAGCATGTTTATAAGTGTAAAACCATTTATCATGTATTTGGGAAAATGAGAAATGTGAGAAGTATTTAAATGAATTTATAAATGTACCTTGTGAAAATAGAAATTATAATTCGTGTTTAAAATCCCAGAATTAAAATTGTATTTGGGTTTAAAATGCTTCTCAATGTGTGGATAATGATTAGTAATGTTAAAATAGCTAATGTGAGTACAGTGAATCTTATTGCATATCTATTGGTAAGTTATGGAGCAGTAATTACTGTTATGAAATTGCAAATGATTTATCAATTCAATTTTTCAGCTGTGATAAATTGGGCTTAAGCAGAACTTAATGTTTAAATAACACTCAAAGTTTAACATGTTATTGGAATGGTTATGTCTGCTTAGAAGCTAATTTATATTTACTGAAATGTTAGGATGATATATCATAGTTGACTTGCAATTAAATTAAAACACCAAAATAGATTTGTAAGTGGAATAATCAAACCTGCCAAAATCTATATAATTCCAATGAATGCATTGATTTCTCTACCCTCTCCTATTGTAGACAAGCCCATATTAGTTGCTAATACAATTTACCATTACAAAAATGTGAATAAAAATTAGAAAATCCTTAAAAATGTTCTGATACATTGAGTTACAAGGCTTGCTAGAACGTTGAATTTGATTACTGCCAATTTGATGGTTATTGTAATATATGGTATAGGACTAGGTACTCATGTGAAAACATAGCAAACTATTGGGGTTGTATGAACACATCAATGTATTGTTAGTGGACTGGTAAGTGTGAAAATATAGATAAGGGTTTTAAGCGTGTGGCTTGCCATCAAATCCCCACAAAGGTAATATATTGATATCTAATAATAGTTCAATAAAGTGTCATGTTCAAAATACTCAATAGAACCATGTCTATATGATGAAATTCACAAGAAATGTGATATGAAATTGACCAGCTCTTTTGCGGGCTCTACTAACATAGATTAGACCAATTATACATAGATTAGATTAATATATGAATGCACTTAATTTAGTGAAAAAGAGGATTGCGTAGGAAGCAGAATAGGCTATTGTGAATGGTAGGAAAATAGATGCTTAGATTGTTAATCTAATGATAATTGCAAGAATGATAGTTGTTCAAACAAAAGTATTAAATAATGTTTGATTATGCATAACCTATTTTGTGCCTGGAGGAATGATAATTGTATAGATTGGGTTTTTGATTAACAGAACTTTACGTAATCTTTAGTTACTTAGATATGCTGTAAATCGATGGACTCAACAGTTAAATATTTAGAATCTATTCACTCATGTGTGCAAATTGATATACTTAAAGATGAATGTAATGCCTAAGGATTATCAAAAATTGTAAATATATTAACAATTATTATAGGCATGTTTGTCATTAGTTAATAAATAATGTGCATATAAAGATGGACAATGTGTTAATTACATTTTTGAATATAAATTTAAATGCAATTAATATAATAATGTGAACCAATAGGTTTGTTAGCAATTGCCTCATTTAAGTTGTAAATATGATGCATAGCTTAACACTTGCATTGAAGTAGATTATTCTAAAGACTAATGCATAACAGTAGGATTATCAAAGATAGGTTGTGCTAAAATTATTAAAATGCCTTGCTATTGGAATAAATAAGTTTAGTAGTGTTAAAATTTTTAATTGTAAATGCATCTTAATCAATGTGATAATGAAACTGTTACTAATAGTTATACTTGTCAATTGTTAAATTATCATTAAGACGTTTGTTCCTATAATATCAACAAAAGAACATGTTAGTAACAATTCAATCAACTTGTAAAATGTTCACTACCAGGATTGAACAGATTAGCATGCATAAGATTATTAAATTAACCTTGTTAATATGTTAATAATTAATGTTAAGAGATTAAATCTTTATTTAGTAGTTGCAATGATCTTAGAGATGTAAATGAATTAGCGTGTAAAATGAATAAAAATGATCATTGTATTTATGATCCAGTTGTTGGTAATTGTCAGTATACATTATAATTACTACCATGTAATTACAAAGGATTGAATATTAATAATTGCAATCGTTAGAAAAAATGTAAATGGTTACATGATCCTTAATAATGCGTTTGTCAAAATCAATAACTAAATTCAGCTTGCGATTTGAAAGAAAATGAATGCAAAAACAATTGCATCTACGAGCAAGAACTTAAAATTTGCAGACCAAAAAAATGTTTTGATTTAACTAATTGTTCAGGAGTAATGAATGGTGAATATTGTTATGAAGACTAATCCTAACAATGCTAAGGTGCTAAAAAGTGTGAAGATATTCTTAATTTAAATGAAAGTAAATAATGCTCAGATTTTATGTTTAACGGCTCAAATTGTATTTAGCTTGAAAACCATTGTGTAAGTGGAGATAATTTGCAAGAGATCTGTCTTAATAGTGATTGTTCAAATACATCTTGTAAATATGATAATTTCACTTGTCGTCCCTTAAAATGTTCTGATTACTTGCAAGATGAACAATGTTTTGAGATATCGAACTGTGTTTATAAGAATGGGCAATGTTAGTAAATCTAAACATGTTCAGAAATTGATGATTAATCTATTTGTTTTAGAACAAAAGTCAATGATAAATAGTGCTCTTGGGAAATTTATGAAATCTATTAAACAACTCATTATTGTACCAACAATTAATGTCATCTGTATAGCAACTCGCCTAGTTTATGTAATGGTAACGAAATCAATCAATATTCTTGTTATATGAATGAATTTGAGATGTGTTAGATTTGTGAAGATATAACAGATCCTTGTTTATGTTCAGCTGGTTGTGCATATTCAAATGGAAAATGTAAATCAATATTGTGTTAAAATTATAATTAAGAGAAGGAATGTTAGAATTCCCAAAAATGTTATTGGAGTTCTCAAGATAAAGTATGTAGGAAATTTTGCAGATATTTAATTCTGTAAGAAGATTGCCAGACGTTGGATTATGAATGTCATTGGAATCCTTATCAATACAAGTGTGAAGATGGAGTATAAATAGAAATCAATTTAAGTGTTACTCTTAGTCAAATCGATTAGTACACTCAACTTATTGGGTAATTTATTCTAATTTTATTATTTTTTTAATGATAAATATAATATTGATTACTAATTTTATTAGATATAAATCAATTTTTTTTTTTCTTTGTCAAATATTCAACAGCTTTCTTAACTCCTTCTGCTTGGAATTTGGCACCCTAATTAATTATGGCCTTAGGAATGTCTCCTTTTGGATTCATGTTGCCAATAATGATGATATTTGTTTGTCCATTAGGTTATTTTTTAACAATCCATGCTGAAAATACGATCTCCCCTCTTTGAACTCCTTTGACTGGTGGTACTTGAGGATGCTCAATTGATTTTGCTAATGAATTAGATTTAAATTTGTACTAATTGTCATAAAATGATCGTCACCCAATTTATATACTCTACTCAACAAACAGAAATCTCTGGCATCAATGAAAAAGGTAGGAGGTTTTCCCCTTGCATAAAAGATGAATGTGTTTTAATCCAATTTATCTATCAATTTTCCCTATTAAGCATTAAATATAAGATTACTTCTAAAAAATTAGTATCGTACTCCTTTTTTCTGGTCATGTCAACTACAAAATTGACAAACTCCTCTGGATCTACAACAGCGTTTGTTTCTGTCCTATTGATCTTCAGACCATTTTCAGGATTGTTCCTGGTATAGATTGCATAGCCATCCTTATTGGTATCTAAAGTCCATTAATTTTCTGGTTTCAATTCAACTATAGAAAGAATTTTAGTTTTGGTTTCCTCTAAAAGTTGGTCGTAATTGTTTTACATTTTTAATTATTTTTAATTTAAAAAGAATTCTGTAGTTCTTAATCAATTTATATAATAATAATTATATATTGATAAAATTAATCTTTATTATCTCCAATTTAAATATTGATTAATAAAATAACATCTTGACTGTCATTTCATCATATTGATAAATTCTGAATAACAGCCAACATTAAATCTGTTTGTTATTAGGTAAATTGATTTCCCAATTGTTATGGCATTTATCCCTTCATATCGAAACACTGGATCAGGACAACTTTTGTGGATCCATTCTGTTAAGGAGTAAGAATCCATCCAAACAAATACATTTCTGCCCTTTCCACATTATGAATAGGAGGTTATTTCTAATGAATGACAGATCTTTCTAAAAGCAATAAATATAGAATTATTACAGCATACAATTATCATTCCATTTTCTAATCTATATATTTTTTAATACAACACCAAATCTCTACTACTCATGAAAGGAATAGGTGGTTTCATTCTGATATATAATAGTTTGGAATCCTTATCAATTTCTTCAAGCACACTAGCATATTCTATTCTTGCATCTGTTTATTTTCTTTTTTCTAAATCAGAAACGTATTAAGCTATAAACTCTGGCTATTTATTAATGAAAGCCTAAGTTCTATTGATTTTGGCTCCATTTTCTGGGTTTTTCATAACATGGACAGTATAACCATTCTTATTGACTAGTAATTCCCACAAATTCTTTTCATTTATGTCCATAATTTAAATCAACTTATCTTTGCACACTAGAATGTAAGTTAAAATTACTTTCAACTAAACTCTCAGGATTGAGAACAATCATAAGATGCAATCAATTAAATTAATATTAGTTATAATATATTTAAAAATATGAATAGCACTAAAATACAATTGTTCACTTGGGATCTGCTATTCCAGATAATGGTTTTCTAGCTTATTGTTATTATTATGATTATTATTATTATTATTATTATTATTAAGTATTAACCTAACCTGATACAGGTTATTTAACAGTTTAAGTTATTGTATTTGGTTATTTAGAATCAACTTAAGTTTAACCAGATCTTGGTTGTGGATTTCCTGAAATTGCTCCAGATTTAGGGAAATTATTCTTAAAAACAATTTCCTCATCTTCCTTTTTCTCAGGTCTTATCACTTTCATAGAATTTAAACCTTTATTTGATAATAGTGCAGAGATCACTCCTTCGAATTCTTCAATTGGTTCTACAGGCCATGAATTAATTATCTCTCTTGGTCTCTTAGTGAATGCACCATCGCCGAAGTAAAGATTCCAATCATATAAACTGCCATCAAATATTGGATAATATCCATCATTACTCAAAGAGAAGAAGAATTAATTAGGAACAAAATGTCTGATGTTATTGAATTGAGCACTATCCTAATGATTCATGAATAGGGTGAATGCAAAGGCTTGTTTCGATTTGAATTAATATCCAAAGTACACAAACACCCACTCTCCATTACTATTCCCTGAATTAATGATTCTGTTAAATTCATTGCTATCATCTCCTTACTAATCTAATTTTCCAAATGTGTAAGTTGAAAATGTTAACTTAGTCTTACTTTAGAATAAAGATAGAGTTCTATCTCCTGCATACTATTTATCTCTCTAGAAATCTGGTGCATTGATAGTCAATCTAAATACATTTCTATAAGCTTCTGTCAAACCCATTACTTTAGATTACAACCACCCAGATACTGCATATTCATTTACACCTTTGTATTAATCATATTTGTATTTCATCTCTTTCCTTTCTTCAGGCTTAATGACAACTTCAGTTTTAATCAAATTAACATCCATTTTAGATATGATTTCAATGGGTGGTCTTGGATTAAGTTGAATGATTTCTTTGATCAATTACTCTCTAGAACCGATGAATCCATTTCCTAAATGAATTTGCAAATCTGCAATCATTCCATTAAATGACTAATACCCAAACTCCTTATTGGCAGCCACAACTCTAGCATATCCATTGAGAGGCACATGAGCTAAGTTCAAAAACTCAACTCGAGAGATAGCTGTACCTGCTTACTCACTAAAATATACAAATCCAACAGCTCTTGCCTATTGCTTATTAGTGAATGAATAATAAATATAATTCCATTCTCCTTCCAAATTGTCATCATAGTTGATATTTTGATAAATAGAAATCTTGTTTCCAATTGTATTGTAAGTTGTAAAGTGATAATAGCCTTTACCAACCCAAATTGCCAATGCCCTATTACCCAATTAAGCAGCATCTTCATATTATTCAGTACTACACAATCTGATCAATTAATTAAATGGAGCCTTTTCTATTATTCTCTTCGGAATAGTAGTCAGCCATCTAGTCCATAATCCATAGCCATATTCTGTAAATCCACTTACATCCTTATTAAATACAATATCTAATCCTGGTCTATCTGTTAATGGCACTTCAATAATTTTATTGTCTATTCCATCCCATATCAATGGCTTAGATTCAACTCCTTAAAGATTAGGCAATTTTTCTTCGAAGTTTCCTTTATTACAATCTACAAAAGATCCTCGGCCAAACAACAAGTTAACTTTTTACATCTAACCATGCCATCCTCCAAGCATTCCATCTCCTCCAAAAAAGAATAATAGATAGTTCGGAACCATATGTAAGACATTTTCGTAAGGTACTAGTGCGTAACTATTCGGATACTTGATGATTCCTGATGCCCTTCTCTTTGAGAAATGATAGCCAAAGTAAATGTAAGTCCAAATTCCAAGGTTGCCTTTATATGGTGTAGGTCTTCTGATGTTCACAACTTATCCATTGTCAATGTTACCAAGAGAATAAGTGGCAAACACATATTCACCTGGCTGCAACATCACTAATAATGTTCTATCTCCAACTCTACTTATTTCACCCCTGTATGCTTATTCATTATTGGTTAATCTCATTATGCAATTATTTGGAGTCTTTAATGACGTACTTGTATATCTAAACCACCCATACATAGCATACTCTTCAGCACCTTTCTAATCTAAGATTTCCTTATAATCAGGCCCATTATTAAAGACCCTTTCTTTAACTTAGTCAACAATGTTAATTTTTCTGTTATCGTCCTCTTCCTCAGCAGGAGTTTTAAAGAATTCAAGAATGATTTTATTCAGAGCATCTGAGTCATGTATGTAATATTTCTTACCAAATCCTAACTACAGACTGACAATCTACCCATTGAATCCCTAATACTAGAACTCATTTCCTATTACTAATTTGGCATAATTATCAATTGGTCGATGTTAAATGTCTCTGAATTGAATTCTTTAGATCTTATCGAGTTTATTGAATTTTACAAAACCAGATGCCAATTGCATTTCAGAATTATAAGAGAAATAAATGAAATTCCATTCCCCTTCTAAATTATCGTCATATCTAATATTTTAAACAATATTGGGATTGTTATTAGCAGCATTATAAGTAAAGAATCCATAATATTATCTTCCAATAAAAATGGCCAAAGTTCTATCTCCAATATTTTCATAGTTTTTATGATTAGGATTAATTGTTAAACGAGCAATATGTAACCAATCTGGCTTTTGAAGCAGTCTTTTTGGAATAGCAGTAAAGTATTTTGTCCACATACCTATACTATAAGATGTCTATTCATCAACCTCGTCAGGTTTTAATTCAAATACTTTATTTTAATCATAAGCGATCTCAAATCTTTCCTTCTAATCGCTCCAAAAATAGGGTGGTTTTGTAATTGATATGCCTCCAGCAGCAAAAGGTTGGAAGGATTGGAAATTACCTTCAATATAGGAACCTGCATTCCCCATAAAATATAATTTGCTGAACTTACCATTGTAAGGTGTATGAATACCATCTTTGCCCACATATAATCCCATGTACTTAGGTACTCTATGCATACAAGACAGTGCCTTTAAGCACTTTTATGTTTTGGTTTGCAAATATGATATCACCTTGTTTTGATATCTACTATATGCATAATATCCATAAACCCACTCATTTTGTGATGGAATATCTACTGGACATTCAGTGTACAAATGAGCGAATTAGTCATGATTGCCTGGAGTTGTATATGTACTGAAGAATATTCTGTGATCTGCATATTAAAACATAGACAAAACTCTATCTCCAGGCTTAGCATGATTTGCTCTGATGTTTTATTCATTATAGGACACTGAGAATACATTCTCCCATGCCACTCTATAAGTTTTAGTCCACTTAAACCACAATGAAACTGAATATTCATAAGCACCATCAAACTCTTCATTGAATTCTACAGGTTATGGTACCCATTCCTCTCTCTTCAGAACTTTGATCTCATCTACAACTGCCTTGGAAAATTGCTTTAGATTTCTCAAGAAGTCTGGTTTCGATGGGATTTACTTTCTCAATAGATCTTCATTTTCAAAGTAACCTCCAGGTCCTAACACCAAAGACACCTTTTAGATGTGACCATTGAATTGATAGTACCTATCCAAAAAGTATCTGCCTGAACTTCCTACAGCCAAATATAAATAGTCATTCAAGGGTTGTTGGAGAATATTACCTAAATTTGTCTTTCTTATCAATGAGCCTTCAAATGCTACATAACCAATTGCACTGCCCTGCTTATCATTCATTCTTTTATATCCATACCAAATGTAATTCCATTATCCATCCAACATTTGATCGTATTCTATGTTATGAACTACATTGTAATTTCCTCTAGTTGATGTTGTAAAATGATAGTATCCAGGTCCAACCCAAATAGCCAGAGCTCTGTCTCCCAATTAACCAGCATCTCCATAATAGTTTGGATTAACTGTCAATCTTGACAATGCCATCCAGGTTGGTTTATTGATCATCTTAATTGGGGTATTCCAAGCAAATCTAGTCCACATCCCATATCCATATTCAACTAATCCATCTATTTGTAGATCGTCCTTATATTCCACTTCTTATCCAACATTTTATTATGTAAATCCACATGCATAATTATCATTAAATTACCAATTCTTTGGTTCAGCTGGTTTATGCAATCCAAACCCAAATGTAGTTTCTTCATTTTCACCTATACCGTATCCACTTTCTTTATACGATCCAGAACCAACATTAAAGTACCAACTCTCAAGAAAACCATTGAACCCTGGACTCCATCTATCCAATAGAAAATGAACCTTAAATTTCTATGCAACAAAATGATTTATGTTGTTATATGTATAGTGTTCTTCAAATCCAGGGAATTTAATATAAATATGAACCTAGCGTTTAGAGTGAGAATATCCTTAATAGAAAAAGACCCAATTTTTATGTTATGTTATATCGTAGTCAATATTCTTCGTAATGTACCATGCTCCTCCATTCTCCTAATCCACTGTGTACGTATTAAAATGATAATATCCATAAGCTTTATGACACTAAAAGATTCTTGATCCAGGTATTTCCATATTCAATAGGTCATTATAATCATAGTATGAGACACGATATAACATATACCAGGGTTATATATTTGGTATATCTACCCATTTAGCCCAGCCGGATATTGAATACTCTAATTTCCCTTAAGCAACTTCTTCTTTGATCTCATGTTCTCTGCCTTGCCCAGAATTAGAAATTCGTCCCTTTACAATTTCAACAGTTTTTCTACTCTAATCATATTTGGATTCTGCAGGTAATCCTAATTCTCCATGTGCAATGATTACTATTTCCTCTTTGCTTAAATAGGCTCCGCTGCCTAATCTGAGTTGGATATTTACTATA